ACAGTTGCTGAGGTTTCAGGATATAAAGAAATACTAAAGGATTATTCAGTGGCTTTTGCCCAGGGATTAAGTAAATTGAATGATTTTCAGACATCGATAATGTTAAACGGAAACATTAGGCTCAAATTCATCAAGACGCACTAAATACCGTACGCCATGAGGCCTAAAGTTGAAGAAGAATTAACTAGTTTAAAAACAAAGGTATTATTACCCCTGTACGATTTTCTGATTAGGGTTCAGCAATCGTACCTCTAACCAAGCCAGACGGCTGCGTTCGTATTTTGGGTGAATGTAAAATGACTGTTAACCAGTCGTTAATGTTAGCTAGTTATCCTTTACCACACATTAAATATTTGAACGTAACGTGTGCAGGGGTCAAATATATATCAACTTGTTTCTCAGCTATGCATAACCGATGAGTGAACTCGATGAGCCTTCCAGAAAGCTTCCTACTATTTCCACTCATATTGGACTTTTCCAATATATTCCTTTGCTTTTTGTAATACTTTTTCCCTCAGAATCTTCAAGAGGATTATCGAGAACCTGGTGAAGGATAGACCTTTCTCTTTTGCTTCTCCGGACGATATCCTTTTCTCGGGACACTGTGATACAGAACACCTTCAGACACCCGCTGTACTACTCAAGCGACTGGAATGATGCGGATTTAAAGTAAAGAAGCCCTAATATAAATTCTCGTCTTTTCCCGTTTTATTCCTCGGCTACGGCTGGATAAGCGTGGGTTGCATGTTTAAAATGACAAGTTATGCCTATTATAGAAAGTCCAGCGCCCTATTAAAGGTTATGAACATTGTTCGTCGAATTTTTGCAAAATAATCTACTATATTACCTCCGTTATATGAATTGTTACGAAAAATTCGTCATCGTGCTGGAATTTTTGTCACAGTGACGCCTTAATTTATGTTAAACAAGCTCTATCCTAAACGCTCTGGTGCGACACCGGCAAGTTTATCTCGATCCGTTTTGGTTGCAAAGACTAAAATAAATCTGGAGACTGCTGCACCATCTGATGCACAGCAATGCTCATTGCATTCGATTCACCTAAAAATTAAAGCACAATTACTCACGGGACTTAGGTAACAAAGACGTCACACTGAGTATACTTAGAGGCAAGACAAATTTGCCGTCTTACTTACGTCTGACTATAGGCTTAGCTGTAAGATCAATTGAGATTCACCATCAGGTCGTGTGAGACTATAGTTGCCTCTACCTGGACAGCAGTTTGTCGTTTGTTCGTGGGGATGATAGTTTGAACATCCGTTTAATGCAAGCCCAGATAATGTCTAATAAGCGTAATAGCACCAATTCGCGCAATGTAATTAGTCATCAGGGGCTAAAACTTACTCAAACTGAAAATTTGCGTCATACCGTGACATAAGTCCAAAATATGGGGCAAATATTTTGCTTGGAATGCAGACAAATATAAGATAACTTGATATTGCTCTTGCAAGAACATGACATTCCCTGTACGTTTATGTTCGAATTATTTTCACAGGTTTTCACTTGATGAGAAGTATACCGATTCTTATTATTTTTATAATATTATTGTCTAAATTTGGTATACATTTTCGACTGGAAGGAGTACTAACCTGGAGCCTAAATTTGCTACTGATACTGTGCACCTTGTATAGATCACATATTGTGCGCTCGATACTTTTCGAACTGCTCGGACAAGTGCTGGAAATTTGGCGCACTGACACCGGCTACCGGTCGGGCCAAAATATTAATCAATGGCAACTTTCCAAAAGCAGATCTGTTAAAGGGGTCCTGAAGGAGGTGGTTCAAACAATTCATCCTTGTTTGACCAGCTGCAGTCAGGCGCACTGGCAACCTCGAGCACTGAAACTCTCATCCCTCTCTGACTTCCGTTAACCCAAATGTGTCAACCTAATCGGGAGCATATCTATCCTCGATAGACGCATACATCTATTCATGTGTTTATGTCCAGGGAGTCGCACTGGTTGATGTCGCATGAACAATGAGAGTGTCACTGTTAGTGCGTGCAAGTAACCCCTCATTGAGAGAATGAATTTATTCCTGCGTGAAATTGAATGAACAACGCGTTATTTTGCTTATTTTAATACTGTAACATTTAACACTAAGCATGGTTACCTATGAAAAGTTAAATTTCCTGAATTGAAACTTACTGCATAGTAAATTTTATGGCTGTTTGAATCCTCAAGCATACCATCAACTGCCTTCCTTCTTGTTTTGCGCTAGTTTCTATCCTCATAGCTGATGTAATACTATTTCGTGCATGAAACCTCCTTTTTGATCAGTTCCAACATTTGCGCCCTATTTACTGACATTTACACCGCATGAAGTAGCGCGTAGATTAACACTCACACCTTCACATAGGTTGGCATTTGATTCTCCCATGTTTGCCTCACAAATGTGAACCGCAGATTAATCAAACTATAGACCCTATTAATTGAATTATTTCCGATATGATCGATTACTCGGCTGTGTGACTGAACGCAATTCAATTGTTTTGAGCTTAAGGGTTTCGTTCACGGCTGGGCTTATTTTGAGGGCTTATTTTGGGATTGTAAAAGTTGTGGTGGATATTATCTAAGTCCGTCTAAAATTGTTACCATAAGCCAGTGTAAATTAGCACGGCAGCGTAGTTCCGGCTTTGAATTATGAAATAATCCAGGCATTTTAGGTTTTGCTTAAATCCACTACCATTTCGTTGGCAGCAGTATATTCTAAAATGGTTCGTTTGCTATACAATCTCATGACAATGAATTATTCGCGTTCGTAGGGTGCCGCCAAGATATAAGCAATGTTATTCTTTTCGTGACATAATATACCTGCATTAGATATATATAACTTATTGAGTCCTTAGGTAAATGATCTTTGTTTTTACGTATTTGCTTCATTTTTTGGACAGAATGTACTGTTTCTAAATTAATATACCTTGTGTATACATTTCATCCGTTTAATCTGCATTGATGAGCTAGACGTTGATTTATGATATAATGACACCAACTGAAGATGTTAACACAGCAGATTTGGAAGTAATTTCCACAATGTCTAAGAATTTGTTCGTAATTTTAGTGAGTTTTTTTAAAACATATTTTCGAGCATGCAATGCCTTTTATGCAACCTTCTCATAACACGAAGTAGGTAATGGTTAAAAAGTGTTCGTATCAGTAGGGAAAAAGTAAACGCTTTAGTGCTTTAAAATTAGTAGAATCATGCCAGCGAAAATGGTCCTACCCAAATCATGTCAGGCCATGATGTGATTGCACGAACATGTTTTAGATTTTATTATAAAGCAATTCGGTTGGATAACTTTCGAATCTGCATTTCGATTTGGCGGAATGCTTGAGTCCAGTTTTAAATCGTATGGAATATGACCAAGTGAATACTGGAATTCTGGTGTTCATTAAGCAAGCCAAGAAGCATTCTAAATTGCTCGAAATTCTCTAAATATTTTCGCTCATAAGAGAATTACGTAAGTTTATGTGATTCCTTCACACAGTTGAATAATTTATACACCATGGATTCGTTGCTGCTTTGTTGCAGTCACGAGTCAATCTGCCGAAATATCTGTCATTCATAAAGCTTATTTGTGCATGATCGCGTCTACCTTGGTCCATGCGGCTAGGCAGACTTGATGATTACAAGTGTTCGCATGTACTTATTGACTGCGATTAGTTAACTGAACATTATAAACCAGACGTTCTTCATTATTATTATTGCGCTGACTTTGTTATTTGTATATCATTGAAAAAGCGTTCGATGTCCCCATGTAATCCACATTTGAAAAAAGAGTGATTTATATATAAGTAGCCACAGGAACCTGTGTGTCAGTTGCGTAAAATAAATGTGCTTAATCCACAATAATTTGGGCGTCGTAAAACATAAAGTAGAGGCTAAAATGACCACGTATCTTTCGAACATTATTACGTAAATGATAGACAATGAATAGAAGTAATTTATTTGTCAACTAGTTTTGAATGTTTTGCTAACAAACCGTGACTTGCTGATTAATTAAAGCAAATTATATTCTGATGAAAATGTTCAGGAAGCCACAATGTTGCCACCGCGACAACTATTTAAATTCTTTTGAAAATAAACTGTGACCTACTGTAAAATCATTAAATGCTTCAAAAGGTAGCTGACTAAATAAGAAACATCTATGTGTACGAAGTGAGATTAAATGTTTGCGTTGAATTTTAATCTTTGTATATGGATGTGGCATACAATTACTATACGTAGGATCAGAAGGGAACGAAAACGGGAGGTATGGGAATAATGCACATACACCATGATCGTAATCGTACGTCGAAGTAAAATCCCCGCGAAATGGGTGTCCAGGGACGAACGTTAGATAGTCTAAACCAAGGTGTGCAGAAATATTGCTCAGGTGAAACAATCAAAGAGCAACTAATTCATAGCTCACTCTAAAAGTAAACTTACAAAAGGAAATAAACCAGCGATCACCAAATAAGGAAGGTTAAACAAATTCATTTTACTTTTATAATTTGAATAACATAGAAAGGATACGAATAATGGTAGATTCTTGCATTTCGTGTTGTCAAGCAAGCACCATTAAGAAAACATGAAATAATAAACCTAATCAAACGATCTCACCAGACTAATCAATAGAATAATTAAAGTGTGTCACCTGACCAGTCAAGTTTATCAGGGTGAACGGCCAATTTAGCCCTAAGACCATGGCAGACGAAGAGTTAAAACTTTTGTTTTTGCACAAATAAGACCGGTTTTATTCGGTTTATCTCAACGGCCTCGGTGAATCACAAGAATCTCGAATTAGGATAACGCAGTATAATCCGGAACGACGGTACAGTGTTACCTCGATGACGAGACTCCTGGTTCTCAAGGTCACCGCTAGCGAACGCCGTGTGTTTTCGTTCCGACAAAAGTTGATTTTGTCCGTTTTCTTGTGATTCAGACGGGCTTGGAGGTGCGCAATATACTCGGAATCTTCTGCTGGTCTACCTATCATCATCATGGTGTCCAAGTGTCTGGATTGTGGTAAAGGTGTCACTACCCGCTCAAAGGCCGTTCAATGTTCTTTCTGCGACGGCTGGTTGCATATCACTTGTTGTGGTATCTCACCAAATTTTTATGAGTGTCTTCTGATGTATACAGCATCCTCTGTTGGCATCTTTTGTGACTCTTGTCTTACATTAGTCAACACCCAGCGGGCTCATTCTGGTTTACCTGCTTTTACTCCCCGCTCTGCTAGTGCTCACTCCGATCCCCAACCGACTGTTTCCCAAAATTCGCCTTCTTCTTTCCCTTCTTTGTGTCCTGATTTTGTCACGCCAGTTCTTAAACAAATTTCTGCCCCGCCCTCAGAGCCACACATTTCTAGTGACCAGCCTAGTAAGCCCCTGCCCAAGACGTTTGCGACCGTCGTCAAGGAGAACACGGTGGCTGCTCCCGCAAGTCGGATTCCCGTGGTGCATAAATGTAAGCCTATAGCCAAGGCTGTGGAAGACAAAGCGTCACCTCCAAAGCGTGGGCTAAAATCGGTTCTTCATAGGATCGACCATTTGGAGAAACTGCTCCAGGACAAGCCGCCTTCCAAGCCACGGATCCCCGAGATCGCCAAAGTCCCTAACCGGGAACGTTGTCTCATCATAATGAACTCCCCGGAGTCGGATAAGACAACAGCAGCAGAGAGAATTTTGGATGACCAATTGTTTCTAAAACGTATGATCTCCCTACTGTTCGATGAGGGGGAACCGGGGATTAATATCGTCTCTGCTTTTCGACTTGGCAGAAAACACGAAGATTCTTCCAAGGTGCGTCCCCTTAAGGTTGTATGCCAAACTGAAGATGAATGCCGTCGGATCCTTCGACGAACTTCGCGCCTCAAAGGGGAGCCCTTTCACGTGTTACGGGATCTATCCCCGGAAGACCGCGTTAAAATGAAGATCGCAGTCGATGAATTGAGAACTCGCCGTGCGAACGGTGAAACCGATTTGCGTATTGAGGATTTTCGCGTGGTTCGGAAAGTGCAGAGAACGCGCTGGAAGCCAGTTCTTGTCCTTCCCGGACATTAAGATCAACAACTGGATTGCACGTACTTTTTGCGAACGTGCGCAGTCTGCGTAATAAACTAGATGAAGTTGTGCATCTTGCGTCAGTACTTCTCCCGGACCTTATGGCGTTTACGGAGACATGGTTGTCCCCAGAAATCCCAGATCCCGAAGTACATATTCCTGGTTACAGTCTCTCCCGAGCTGATCGCATCGGTTTGAGATCGGGGGCGGCGTCATACTCTACTGGAAGGAAAACCTGAAGGTCCATGTAGTTGATGTTGTCTTGGGAAGTGATGACTGCTCCGAAGTGCTTTGGTGTCGTATTCACGATGGATGTAGATCTCTCCTTCTCGGTGTCTTCTACAGAGCTCCCCTGAGTTCTGGCGATCGTTTACTGGCCTCTCTAAAGAAGCATGGTGGAAACAAGGATTGTTTATTAGTGGGGGACTTTAATGCCCCTAATGTTGATTGGGATCTTCTTCACTGTGATGCTGCACCTGCCTCCTTCGATTCTACGTTTCTGGAAGCTGTTCTTGAAAGCAATTTAATTCAACATGTCGCGGCACCTACTCGCATTATCCCTGGTCAGACGCCGCACATACTCGATCTTGTGCTTTCGCCTGCGCCATCGGATGTTTCTGATTTGAATGTCTTACCACCAATCGGGAGGAGTGACCACTGCCTACTTTCCTTTCAATGGACCACACGGTTGAGCATTCACAACCACTGTGTCTATCGGCGGAATTTCTGGCGTGCTGATCCAAACCGCTTGAAGAAGGCCGCTAGCGAGCAGGATTGGAGTCTCCCTCAGCACTTGGACGTCGATAATGCTTGGAGCCTTGTTTACTCGAAAATGTTGTCCATTATTGATGATGTTGTCCCCATATCCAAACGAAAACCATTTACTAGAGGTCCCCCTGGATTGACCGAGAACTACGATCGCTCATGAACCAAAGACACAAACTTTGGAATCGCTATAGGCTTTCGAGATTGGAAACCGATTATAGCAATTATAAATTGGTCCGGAACGTATGTACCTCGAAAAAACGTACGAAACGGCAGCAATACGAAGGTCATCTGGCTGAACATTCCAAGTCTATACCGAAGCTGCTTTTCTCCTACTTGAAAAGGAGCACCAGAGCCGGAAGTGGAATACCGTCTTTGCATTCCCACGATCTTAATACCGTGCTCCACGACGATGCTGATAAAGCTAATCTTTTAGCTCGCCATTATTCATCGGTCTATACAACGGGGGTGCCGTCAGTTGATTGTTATTCATCCTTGCTCTCCGCTCTCAGCGATATGGACATAAATGTTACTGTGGTATACAAACTTTTGTGCGAGTTGGATCCCAACTCTTCCCCGGGACCTGATGGACTGCATCCTCTTTTCCTCAAGATTGTGGCCGAATATATCGCTGTTCCTATCTGCCACGTATTTCGGTGCTCACTTGAGGCCGGGCGTCTTCCGCTTGCCTGGAAAGCGGGTATAGTCAAGCCCATATACAAAGGAGGTAATCGGCAAGATCCTACGAATTATCGGCCCATTTGTCTAACATCTGTCGTCTGTAAGGTTATGGAGAGGATTCTTAAGCGAGCTCTCAACCTGCACTTCCAGAACCTCAAGATCATTTCAGCTGCGCAGCATGGGTTTTGTCCTTCGCGTTCATGTGTCACCAATCTTCTGGTAGCTCGAGAAAAGTGGGCTAAATCCATGGATGCTGGTAAGCGGCTAGATGTCGTATTTGTGGATTTTAGTAAAGCTTTTGACAAGGTTCCACACGAAATTTTGCTTAGCAAACTTCGCAGTATTGGTGTTTCAGGAAAAATCCTCTCTTGGCTCACTGATTTCCTGAATGACCGCGCTTTCCGTGTGCAAGTAAATGAGGCCTTTTCCTTCCCTGTAAATATGACCAGCGGTGTTCCGCAAGGCTCTGTTCTTGGCCCTGAACTTTTTAAAGTCTTTATTAATGATCTGGCATCTGTACTACGGGCAGATTGTTTGATTTACGCAGATGATTTAAAGATATGGATGGAAGTCTCCTGTCTGGATGAAGCTGATTTACTACAAACAAGGCTCGATTCGCTGCATGAGTGGTCGGTCAGGTGTCAATTACCCATAAATCACGATAAATGTTCCGTTCTTCCGATCGGTGCCTCCGAACCATTTGGAATTTATCATATCGGTGGGTTTTTGCTGCCGAACTCTAATCGTGAGAGGGACCTCGGCGTCATTGTGACCCCAGACCTAAAATCGACCGAAGATACCTTGAGGAAAGTCGCTTCTGCCAACAGGTTGTTTTTCGCCATACGACGATCCTTCTCTCGCTTGACTCCGGAGATCTTCAGGCTCCTGTTCACTTCTCATGTACGTCCGATTCTTGAGTATGGACTGCCCGCTGTTTATCCTCTTTCCAAATTTGAATGCAACTTGATTGAAAAAGTTCAGCGGAGAGGATCTAAATCCGTTCTGGAATTACGAAACCTGCCTTACTCGCATCGTCTCCAGTGCCTGAACTTGTTCTCCCTAGCCTACCGTCGAGATCGCGGGGATTTGATTTTCACACGGCGTATCGTTAGAGGGGAACTTGGAGTTGAATTGCAGAATTTCTTTCCACTCAATTCTTTCAGTTCGACTCGGGGTCACCATTGGAAATTGTTTAAACAAAGGAGACTTCGGGTCCGTTGTGATGTCACTCTGTCTACCAGAGTAGTGAACGAATGGAATAATCTACCTGTGTGTGTCGTTGATGCGCAGTCGGAGGAATGTTTCAAACATCAATTGGATTCTTACCTGTTGAGTAAACTCGGATCTTGTTGCTTCTTGTGTCAATGCAGCGGTTCCATTGGAACCGACTTGCAATGTCCACCTTGATCCCTGTGACGAACGGGAGGCGATGGAGCTGACAAAGGATTTTTCCTTCTGCTCTCTACATTCCAATGTTCCAATGTTCCAATGTTCCCAAATCTGCCTGCTTATTGATGACGCTGGTGGCTTAAGTGGGCTCACGAGACTATTACCAGAACACATGGAAGGCGGTTACCCTAAACGTTTCATCGAGAAGCAACATCAGGCCGGATAGCCGAAAGAAATGGTGTTGACATCACCTAAGAAAAAGCCTTACATTGAGCTAACACTCAACAACAACGCCACCACAATGAGGAAAGCCAAGTGTTTATTCCCTGCCATCCTGAGAACATACTACGCTATTGACGTAGTCATAAATAGCAGAACCCAGAAGCTGTTGATAACTTCAGTCAAAGAAGAGGGATCCATCGGCGCCAAATCCCATTGCGCTTACCAATGTGTATGTGACTGTGGAGTCGGTTACGTTGGCAGAACCGAGAGGGTGTTGAATTCTAGCATGAAGGAAAACTTCCCAACTTGATTCAACATAAAGTCAAACAACCCGCATCTAGTGCTCCGAACTCTCGTAAGCCACCAGCGTCATCAATATGCAGGCAGATTTGGGACTCCCATTATCGGCGTAACTCTGTACCGTCGTTCCGATTTCTACTGCGTTATCCTAATTCGAGGTTCTTGTGGTTCACCGAGGCCGTGGAGATAAAACAAATGAAACCGGCCCTATTTCTGCAAAAACAAACGGTTTTAGCGCTTCGGCTGCTATGGTCTTAGGGCTATGTTGGCCGTTCATACAGATGAACTTGACTGGTCAGATGACACACTTTAATTATTCTATTGATTAGTCTGATGAGACCGCTTGAGTAGATTTATTATTCCATGTTTTCTTAATGTTGCTGACGTGGTGATACGAAATGCATGCATTCACTAATGTTCGTCTTCTTTCTGTGTTATTTTTATTCGTTTTTGTTAGGACGCAAATAATGGAAGTGAATACATGGAGTTCAACCTGTAGAATTTACCCATGATGTTTAAATGAACTGACACACCGTTGTGAAGGTTAGGAATTTACCAACTGTAGCTCGTCTAGAATTAGAGACATCTTTTTTACTTGCGCATATTTGAGAACTCGATTAGCTATTGTTACGTGCAATAAAGTGTGTTCTTTGTTTATACCTCATTTTTGTTACGACTGTATTTACTGCTTATCCGAATATGAAAGGTAGCTTTTTGTTTACATTACTTTTAATCAGTGAATTTTGTTAAAGTAATCAATGCGAAGTAATTACCACGTTATTTCGCAAACAAAAGCTATGCTTTAAACGAATTTTCGAAAACTGTCATCACAAAGAATTAGTAAAGTGATTTAATTGCCAGATGCTTAGCCCAGTAAATCTAGTCTGAGCGAGACAAACACCAAAATTTCAAGGAAATAATTATGAAAATTTAACCATTTATCCTACCATTGCGATTCGTTGTTTTAAAGGAAATTCTTTTCAGTTATGATTCTTGGTAAAGCCTCGGCCAATTCTATTGAATTTTGCGTTTAATATGGGAAAAGTTTATGACAATTTGACGCTTTGAGTCAAAATGTTCTCAATATCATATGCTTCAAGTACATCTATTATTTGGACTTACTGCATTGCTACACGTAAAAAGCCGGGGCATTCCTTGGTTACCTGGACCGACTCAACATTTTCTCTGTAGCTGCTCTATCAGTCAATAGATTGATTGAAAATTGCTTAAAAACGAAGTCATGAAATCAAGCTAAGAATACTTACTTCAAATAGTTGCATCTGGTAGCGTCGAATTGGTCGACCTAAAGTTTTCTAAACCAGTCCATTGACTCTTGTTAAACCCTAATAAAACACTGGAGATGCTCCACACCTGAGTCGGATTTTTAGCTTCCCCTCTGGATGGAAATGGGTGGTTGAGGATCGTATGATTTGTAATGACCACATACAAGTCGAAGGTGTAGTAACGTAAGAACCAGTGTAAGGATTACGTCGTGGTTACTGAGCTCCAGTAATTCATTTTTTCTAACACCTGGCTTTTGAGATTGCCATCAAGATAGGCTGACGAAACTATATAAAACGGCTGACCGTCAAATTATCCAGTGCTTGTTAGATATTAGAAATCAGCTGACAGTAGACTTGTTG